TCGGGAGGCGGAGGCGAAAGGATGAAAATGCAGTGCCAAGCTGGGATGTACACGGAACCCGTGGGAGGGAGGGAGCAATTCATAAATTTTGCTTAAATTCTAAGAATAAAGCATTCCTTTACTATTCTGAAATAAGTTTTAAGCAGTCATATTTGTTCTCAAATCTGTTTTTTTCTGTAACTGCCCAGATGTGTTTATTAAGCCTTTATTGAAAGAATTTTATGGATCTCCCTTTCCTTTGGGGTAGTATCAGTTTCATGGACAACAAACCAGGACTGTGCTGGACATGGGGGAACCTGTGGTCTCTACTGGCCAGCCACATTCATGTGCCTGGAGCTCCAGGAGAATCAGCATATCTTTGCTGTCAGTAGGCAAATTTATTGAGAACACACTTGGCACTAGGGAGACAAAAATCTCTCAATTTTTTTTATTATGGTGAAAACAGGGGGATTAGTTATGTAAGTCGGGTTATGAGAACATTTCCTTGTGGACAATCATACCTTCCCTAACTGTCTCACAAGAACTTGACATCCAAGAGTATATTTTTATATAATGTTAAGTTCTCATCGCTTAATTCTAGACTCAGATTTTACCACTCTGACTGCAAAAACACATCCCAAACAGAACTTCCAATTTCTTACTGTGTTCCTTCAGCTGGCTTTTTCCATCTTGTAAATGGCACCATTGTTAACTAAATTATTTATAGAAGCCCAGAAAAGCAACTGCCTTAATCAGTTCCTCCCTTGCTCATTGCAGTTCAGTTCCTCCACATCTTCGTGAAAGGGAAGGGTAATTTTTAAGGATGTGCATGGTACTTCTGCTCTTTGAGGTATAGTTGACAAATTATTACTATTTCTTGGAATACTGGGATTTGAATAGCTTTGCACTTGCTAGGCAAGCACACCACCACTGAGCTGCATCTGCAATCCTTTTTGCTTTCATTATTTTTTGGAGATTATCTTGTTTGCCTAAGTAGGCCTATACTACTGTCCTATTTACACTAACCCAAGCAAAACTGGGATAACAAGTATGCACCATCACACCCAAATGTTGGTTGAGATAGATCTCACTAACTTCACTAGTCTAACAAACCATGATCCTCCTATCTCTGCCTCCCAGGTGGCTGGGACTACAGCTAAACTGCTTGTTTTTAAAGTGAATGATTCAGTGGTGAAGTCCCATCTATCTGAACCCCAAATAATTTTTTTGGGGGGGGTCTGGTCATGGGGCCTGAACTCTGGGCCTGGGCGTTGTCCCTCAGCTCAAGGCTAGTGCTCTACCACTTGAGCCACAGCGCCACTTCCGGCTTTTTTTCTTTTTGCTTATGTGGTGCTGAGGAATTGGACCCAGGGCCTCATGCATGCAAGGCAAGGGCTCTACCACTGAGCTACCTTCCCAGCCCCCAAACCCCAAATATTTTCATTGTTCTTAAACCTTGAATCCTTTTAAAGTTAATTCCTCACTGCTTCTTCCCGCTAAAACTATCAATCTGCTTTCTGTTTCTGGATGTTTCAAATAATCATACCATGTTATATGGCTTTTGTCTGACTTCATATGTTTTGAGGCTCACACACAAGTACTCAGTCTTCATTCCTATGCTCCCTAGTGACTTACCTCGAACTTAAAAGTGCTATTTCTCTCTGAGGGTTCTGGGGAACAAACCAATTGTGACCTTTAATGAAGTACAGCAATTAGGATCTGGGGATGTCTGGCGGAATGCTTGCCTCACATGCATAAGGCCCTGGCCTTGATCCCAGCACCGCCACATGTATACCAATTAAATTGTACCAATTGTTGGAGGCAAATGAATCATAAAATTAATTTTAGCAGGGCACCAGTGGCTCACGCCTGTAATTCTAGCTAATTCAGGAGGCTGAGATTGAGGATCCCAGTCAATCTATGAGACTTATCTCCAATAAACTACCAGAAAACCAGAAGTGGTGCTGTGGCTCAAGTGGTAGGGCCACTAGCCTTGAGCTGAAGAGCTCTGGGACAGTGCTCAGGCACAGAGTTTAAGCCCCATGGCTAACTATTTTATTCTTTCTTTATTTTTTACTGAGAGCATACTCTATCATTTTAATGTATCCAAGGATCTGTTTCTCAGGGAAATACCATGGACAAGAAGATAGATAGGCAATTCAAGAAGGGCAGTCATCTATAAAAGAATCTCTGCTAAGGTAAATATTCAAGACTGTTATTCCACACACACACACCCACAAAGTAGTATTCTGGACTAGAATTCTGTCCTTATGTAGAAGAAACATTCTGCTAGGAAGTCTGGTATATAGGCGGTTTGGATAGTTCATGATCGAAGAAGGCAAGACACTTTTAGAGGTAATCTGAGAAAGTGCCAGTACTCTTTCTAGTGGAATTCTATGTATGGTGGTGTGGCAGATTTTAACATCTCGGGGGCATTATTTGATACCAGTGGGGAGAAGTTACTTCTGCATACAGGATTACATGACTCGAAAGCACTGTTAGAGTCGAGCTTAGTAAAATGGGTTGGGCTAGCTATTTTTAACAAGAACAAAAGATACTTAAAATATACATTTATAGGATGAATTAGTACTTTTGACACAAGTTTTTAAAAAAAAATGGTGTGCTATTCAGATCCCTTGTTCATTCTCCTCCTCATGGGGCTGGTGACTCGCCTGTGTCCTCCAGATAGCTTTGATACCCACTGGGGACTCAAAATGACCATACTGCAGAGGCCCTCCCAGCCCTCTCCCGACAGGATCCCAGCCTGATTCTCCCTCCCTCTCCCTGTCAATCCTGGGAACATTCCCATTTAAACTTTCTACACCTTAATCCCATCTCAGCCTATTGCCTATGGGAATCTGTCCTGCAATAACATCCCAAACTGGAAGCCAATAAAAGGTCATCGTCACTTAGACAACGTATTTCTGATGATTTACTTTCATGCGTGTTCTATTTGTAGAACAAAAGCAGGGGGGGGAAAACATCTTTTTAATTCTTAGTCAATATGGTATAAAAATGAAATATATAACCCAGTAGCTTCTACACTTAATATCTAGGTGAGTCACTGAATCCCCACCTTCACCCCACCCCACTAAAATAGACCTAACTTCCAAAGTTGAAGATGTTCAAATGAAGGACCTGAACAACTGATACATCATTTTTAATAACAGCTCAATGAGACTGGGTTTTCATTACAATGCCAGTGAAGTTTTCATTTGAATTGTTTTCCAAGATCATCCATGTTTATGGTACAATACTGGCACTTTGCAGTAAGTATGGACACTTCCAGTTCATGTGCATTGACCATAGTTGTATTAAACAAGTACATCACAGAATGCTCACAATTTTCAGTTCACTTTTATTAAACTATTTGCAACGTAGAAAATAACATCACTGGATATTCTCACATCCAAAATACTCACTAAAAGGTTAAAAAAGATGTCATTAATATTCAGCAAAACAAATCTCTCTCATACCTAATACCATAATGGGATTACAGGACTCCTGTGGGCTAGATTTGTTTTAGCTGCTATGTAAAAGTTCATACATGACCACATTCATACAATCTACCAAAGATAATCACAAAGCAATGTAGCAATCATCTAGTCCAAAGACTCTCTGGCTGGGGATGTAGCTCAGTGGTAGAGTGCCTGCCTAGAGCAAGGAAGACCCTAGATTCCATACCCCAGAACCAAAAAAGACAAAAGTGATTAATGCCCTCTTAAGGGCATGTCTCTTTCATTATTTGGTTAAGATACACTGCATGTGGAAAGCAACAGTGCAAGAGGAAGGAACACTGGGCCTTCTGCAGCTTGAGCTTGCTACTGTGCATACTGGCACTGATGAGCAATTGTAGGTATAATAAGGGAGGAACTTAACATGGGGGAACTAACCCCTTACAAAGGTATGAAATTAGGGAAAAGCTTTGTACAAATGTACAAAACAAATGGACAAAACAGCAAAAGGGAAGGGGAAAACCATAGCTGTGGACTTAAAGACACCTTACTCTACTCCAAGAATTTAGGTGCTTTCAAATCTAAAATTTTAGTTTTATTCATTCCTTTGTTTATATGGCTAAACCTGAAATTCAGCCAAAAAGCGTAATGTGAGACTAGGACACTCACATCCTAATCAAAACAAAAACAAAAACAAGTGTTTGAGGCTTAAAAAAGGCAAAAGATTTCAACAGCACTAAGTCAGGAAATACATGTTAAATCTCAATTTTCAGAAAACTGGAAAACTGGAATACAAATACCATCTCAGAATGTGTTTAAAGTAAGTTATATGACTTAACCTTACCAATGCAAGTCACTAGTTTAAAGACAGCTACATACCAGCCCCTCATTACATCTCGATGAACACCAAGAGGGACCAACACAGGATAAAAAATTAAAATTAACAAAAACAAAAAACAGGAAGTGGCACTGTGGCTCAAAGTGGTAGAGCACTAGGCTTGAACAAAAGAGCTCAGAAGCAGCATCCAGGCTTTGTAAGCCCCACAACTGACCAAAAAAAAAAAAAAATCCCCATAATTTCATTTTCATTTAATGTGAATCCAATTCCAGAGTGAGTAAAATATCACTGAAAGTGACGGCACAGAACAAGCACTGCTTTGTTTTGAAATGGGGTTACATGGCCAGATCAGTGGCCCATGCCTATAATCCTAACTACTCAGGAGGTTGAGATCTGAGGACCACAGTTCAAATGCATCCTGGGCAGAAAAACCCCCAAGACTCTTTTCTCCAATTAACCAGCAAAAATCCCAAAGTAGAAGTGTGGCCCAAGTGGTAGAGCACCATCAATGAGTGAAAAAGCTAAGCAAAAGGGTGAGGCTTTGAATTTAAGCCATAGTACTGGAACATAAAAGAAAAAATAAGTGAGTATGAGGCCAAGTGTAGTGACACTCACCTGCAATCTTAACAAGAGGATTGCTATCTAACGCTAACCCTGAGCAAAAACCCTAAGACCCTATCTGAAAAATAACAAAAGCCAAAAAGGGCTAGAGGAGTAGCTAAGTGGTAAAGTACTGCCTAGCAAGTGTAAATCATTTCAAACCCCAATCCTGCCAGAAACAAACAACAACAACTTGTCCACATGGTTTGTCCCTTGAGTAGCTTTGGTCAGAGACTAGTGCAGGAAGCCATTTCATTAGAGTCTAAGACATTCTTTGACAACCTTCTTACAGAGTACAGCCACCTATAAGTCCTCCTTTCTGTTTCTCTTCTGTGCTTTGTAAATATATATGTCTTTTTCAGAATCATAGTAAACCTTACTCACAGTAAATCGCCTCTCCAGCATCGCTAAGAAGTTATTATCCCGTTCATAGCGGATTCGGCAAGCTAAAAGAATCACCGAGTGATTGCTACAGAGATATTCCAGTGTATGAAGAAGATCTGTGAATGTTTCTTCTAAATATATGATGTCAGCTCCAAGTATCAGGTCAAATTCTCCAGGTGAGAAACTCCCCAGATTCTGGCCCCAGGTCAGCTCCTTAACAACTGCTTTGGTTCGGATATGGGGAGGTAAGTTGGCTTGAACATTTGACTTAAGAAATTCTAAGGCTACTTTTCGATCGGTGACAGTCACATGAGCACCTACAATGGGGGACAAAGAAAAGGTAATGGACATATCAATGCAAGTCCTGCAAGGAGAGAGGGGGTCAAGTTAACCACCGAGTGCATGTGAGTATTCCACCTGATAGCAGGTGCCCTCTGTGGAGCTCACCATGTCCCAGTAGTGGCTGGCAGGCAGTGACTTCTGCACTGGCTCTTGGCAAAAGGAGCCGTGGCAGCTGCCTCTGTGACAGTCCAGCTGTTTGCTGACGTTGTACTCACAAATTAGTCTCCAGCTGACCCAGGCTGAGGCTTCTGAATTGGGCACCCACCCTTCACCCATTAGGTAAAACAGAATTCAAGAATGAAAAATTCTGTTAGCAGAATATAATTACTGAGCAGATACCAAAAAAGGGGAAGCAGCTTTGTAGGTTTAAAACAGAATCACAGTTCAGATCCTAAGGAATGCCACAACCTGTCCCTAGGCTGTTTTGAACCAGCCAACTTATGTGGGTTTATGGAATATACATATTATATATGTAATATATATAATATATATAATTTCTTCTGAATTACTGTATAGTTTTCAGGTAAGTTTGTTTATTTAAGTTTCTACATTCAGTACTGAACAATTAATGAAGTCATATTTTATTAACCTGTTTCTTATAGGTTGGTGACAATTATCTGTTTTTCTTTTTGCTAGTACTGGGATTTGACATCAGGGCCTTGCACTTGACTTTCTTGCTCACAGATGGTGTTCTACCACCACTGCCAGCCTGGCTTTTTGCTGGCTTTTTAGAGATAAGAGTGTTGCAGACTCTTCTGTTCAGGCTGGCTTCAAACCACTATCTTCCAGGTTTCAGCCTCCTAGGTAGCTAGGATTATAGGCTTGAGCCACCACCAGCAATATCTAATTTTGAACCAATATGGATAAAGAAACTGACCTGTAGTTACTCTGAAGATAAAGAAACCATGTAAGATCAGACCTAATATACTCATGCATAAAATATAATCCTATTAGGCCCAAGAAATTCAAATTTATCTTTCATTCTTTCATAAAAGTTTTTCTCTATTGGATATGGTGAATGACTGTATCTCAACACTTGGAAGGATAAAGTGGCAAGACAGAAGAGAGTTCAAGGCCAGCCTGGGCTACTGTAAATTTTGAAGCCAGCTAAAGCAACATAGTAAGACACTCTCAAAAGGACACTCTACCCCCCCCCACCCCCCCCACCCCCCCCCCCACCTACACCAAAGAAAAAACAACAGTACTTTCAATTATTTGCATTTGTTTTTAGTCTCTAATCTCCCACAAGATTCTGGAACAGCTTCAGTCAGCACCATTCCACCGGCAGCTTATACCCAGTGTTTCCTTATCTTGACATGTAAGATTATGACAGTATGCCATGGAGTCTGTGATACAGCTGAAACCCTCAAGCTGTCAGAGCACTCAACCCTGGACCCACTGCTCTGACCACTGCCAGACAATGTGCTACTACCCAATAAGCGGAAATAAATGAGAGATTCTACTTTTTCTGTCAATGAAAATTACAGACAGCCTTTCTAAGTGTGGCTAAGAACTTTTATCTCCGGATTTCACAGTCCACAGAGCACTCTGCTGGCAATACTGGAGTGACCCATCTTGCAACCATTACCTGAGCATTCATTCTAATGCCCCTCTGCATGATTTCAGAGGTCATTTAACTTCCCAGGTATTTCAGAAGTCTGAACAGGATCTTAATGTCAGATCACCATTCCCTATAAACTCACTGGTTCTATTGGAGGCCACCATCAATCAGAGGATGAAAAACTTAGCCCCATAGAACTGACATTCAAACAAGGACATAGCAACAAAAATGTTAATGTTGTTTCTGTTTGTTTTGTTCTGAACACAGGATTTTCACATGGATGGAGCCCAGGGTAGCTTCAAACTTGAGCTGCTCCTGCCATGCCTCCCAAGTGCTCCGATGACAGGCATGAATACCTGACGAGATGTTTTTTAAAAGAATATCCAGAATGTTAGTTGATGATCCAAGCTAGATTTAAGAAAATACAGCAGGAAAGAGAAGCATGAAACATCCAGAGGTAAGCAGGTTGGTGTAAAGGATCAAAGAGACAGGTGACTGGGTAAAGACCTAACAGCATAACCATATGCATGTCCATATTCCCTAATTCCAACCCAACTTACAAAATCTTGTTTTGAAGTAACTCAAAGGCTAGGGAGATTTTCAAATTGAGAAGCAGGACCATTTTCATATGCCATCCACATTCCATTAGTTTGTGGCCTTAGGCAGTTACTTTACTCTCTGCTAATCCTCCATTTCACTACTTGAAAAGAACTTTTAAGTAGCTCAGATCTACTTACCAAATGCAGGGTTACTATGAGAATTCGAGACTGTAAATCTACAGCCTAATTGTTAATATGCATAGAACATGATATGGCTCACATGGGGAGAATAAGAGGTTTTTGTGGCTCCTGAAATGCCTGTAACACAATGTGATGGGTTCAAAATACTCGGGGAATCGAGGGCCTTAAGGAATCGAGGGCCTTAACACCAATGTGGTCGGAGTACCAGCAAGGCTGAGTTATTAGCCTGGAAGGTGGTCTCAAAAGAAAGCTCTCAGGGCCCACTCCAGAACCTCTGAATCAGAAACTTACACTGTTAATGAGAGCCCAGATGGCAATATTAGGAAGACTCTTAAAAGATCTTAAAAGCTTGTCTAGCCAGGTGCTGGTGGCTCACACTTGTAGCTACTCAGGAGGCTGAGATATGAGGATTTCTGCTGTAAGCCAGCCTGCACAGGAAAGTCCATGAGTCTTTTATCTCCAATAAGCTTCTCAGAAAAAGCCAGAAGTGGCACTGTGGCTCAATTGGTGGAGCACTTGTCTTGAGCAAAAAGAAGCTCAGGGACAGCACCGCAGCCTTGCGTTCAAGCCCCAGGGCTGGCAAAAAGTTGGTCTACACTTCTCCCTGGATACCTCGAACTGTCTTGAGTCAGAAGTTGTAGGAAGAACTTAACAGAAAATAATAAAAATAGTAAGATTTTAAAATGCTCTAGATTAGCCAGAGATGATGCTTCCATACCAGTGCTGCATGTCTGTAATCCTACTTGGGAGGCTGAGATACAAAGATCATGAATTCTAGGTATCCTAGCCAACATGGTGACACACTCTCTCAAAGACCTCAATTAATGGTTATATAACAAACTAAAAATAAAAATAACAAAAGTTAATGACTATAATCAAAGCACTTGAAAAGCTGAAGCCGGAGGGTCATATATTCCAGACCAGCCAAGCCAATGCTGGAAGGAAGGAAGGAAGGAAGGAAGGAAGGAAGGAAGGAAGGAAGGAAGGAAGGAAGGAAGGAAGGAAGGAAGGAAGGAAGGAAGGAAGGAAGGAAGGAAGGAAGGAAGGAAGGAAGGAAGGAAGGGGAGGGAGGGAGGGAGGAGGGAAGGAATGTAGGGAGGGAGGGAGGGAGGAAGGGGAGGAAGGGAGGGAGGGAGGGGGAGGAAGGGAGGGAGGGGAACAAACGGAGGGAGGGGAAGGGAAGAGGAGAGGGGCAGGGAAGGGGCAGGGGAGGGGGAAGAAAAGGGGAGGAGAGGGGGAAGAAAAGGGGAGGAGAGGGGGAAGAGAAGGAAAGGAAGGGAGGGGAGGGAGGGAGGAAGGGAATGAAGGAAGGAAGAAAATAAAGCAAGGAAGGGAAGGAAGAAAAAAAGAAAAACATATCAGTTCAGAATTATAGACTGTTAATTTTTTTTTTTGGGGGGGGGTCAGTCGTGGGGCCTGAACTCTGGACCTGGGCACTGTCCCTCAGCTCTTCAGCTCAAGGCTAGCGCTCTACCCCTTGAGCAGCCACAGTGTCACTTCCAGCTTTTTTCTTTTTGCTTATGTGGTGCTGAGGAATCGAACCCAGGGCCTCATGCATGCAAGGCAAGCTCTCTGCCACTGAGCCACCTTCCCAGCCCTTAACATATAATTTTATTTACATAATTTTTTGTGACAGGGTTTCACTATGCGCCTCAGGCTGACCTCAAATTCATGATCCTCTTTTTCCAGTTTTCCAAGTACTAAGATTATAGGTATGTACCACCATACTTGGATTATTAATAAAATGTTTTAAAATAAGATGACACAGATTTTAGAGGAGCTGATCCTACCCAGAAGAGAAAAGCCAGCAGTTTCCTCGGCAATTAATGAAGGAAAAGGCATTGCCTCACCAACTTAAATCCAACCACCTCGTAAGCACTTTAGACTAAAGGAATTTATAGATGGGCTTATATTCTTGAAATCAAAGCAACCTTAAGATTATAATATCAGCATTATAGAATTAAAGGGAACAAGGCAATCTCCCAGGAGAAGGATAAATAACAGGTCGAGAGAAAAAGAGAAGAAACTAGCCACAGGAGTTAAAAGCACAATTGGCCCACAACCTGAAAGCACACAGGGAATTAACCAGGTAAGGGGGAAATTACCAATGGGTTTTGTGCTAACAAGATCAGATGCACCTTTCAAAGAGGTTAGCCAGCACAGCACACTCACCCAGCAGGGCAGCCACTATGCCCACCAGCCCTGTGCCAGCACCCAGCTCCACGGCAGAGCAGCCCCTGAGCTCCACTGTGCCCATCTCCAGGTATGTAGAAAGAACAACGGCCTGCATCAAAACACAGTTGTAATTATGATCCACATGAGCAAGTGCTTCAAGGCTGCAGAGTAGCTGAAGGCCCAGGTGCTGGCAGAGACAACACCCGTGCCCCTCCTTGGGTGAGCTGGGAGTCCCAGCTTACTGACAGTAACTTAGCTACAGTCTTGCCACTGGGAGGGAATCTAGAACAAGCACAGACACAGGGGAAGAAAAGCCCCACAAAGGGGAGGGAGATAGGAACCACACCAGCTTTGGTGGGGCCTGCTGAATGGCAAAGTTTAATGTTTACTGTGTCACAGCACTTTTACACTGAAGTTTGCTAAAGCATTCCAATAGAATTGACGTGAACAGTCTCTGTGACTGCTTAAGGTAATGTCCAGTGCCTCAGCCTAGTCAAGTCAGCAAAGCCACACTTCCTTCACCCAAAGGGAAAGAGCAGCCCTGAACAGTCTCTGTGACTGCTTAAGGTAATGTCCAGTGCCTCAGCCTAGTCAAGTCAGCAAAGCCACACCTTCCTTCACCCAAAGGGAAAGAGCAGCCCTATGCCCAAGGCTCCCTGAACTCTGTCACTGACCATCACTGACCCAGAGGCCCATGGCATCTGTTTTGGGACATTAATAGTAAGTTTTTCCAAAGTTTTGGAACTTGATGCATGAAGTAGTAGATAGTATTTGCTTACAATTCTGTTTAAAAGGTTGTGCTTTTGTAATTTTTACTATAATTTCTCAGGATACACAGGAGGAATATAATTGGCAATTGCTTGTTTTGCTGGGTTTTCTTAGTCTTGTTCTTCACTATCTTTCTCACTTGCTAGGGGAGTAGTTTTCATGTCATTTTAGATTGCATTCGTATAAGTGGTTATGTCATGCCAGAACATACTAGTTTTTTTTGTTTTGTCTTGTTTTTTGTTGTTTTCTTGTCAGTTGTGGGGCTTCAATGAGGGGCCTGCATGCTCCCCTCGAGCAGTTTTGCTCAAGGTTAGCGTTCTACCACTTGGAGCCACAGCACCACTTCCAGTTTTCTGATGGTTAACTGGAGATAAGAGTCTCAGGGGCTTTCCTGCCCACAGAACCTCGATCCTCAGATCTCAGCCTTCTGAGTAGCTAGGATTACAGGCATGAGTCATCAGCACACAGATCATAGTAGTATTTTTATTCCTAATTGTTTTCCAGACGCCTAACCATGTTAAAATTGTGTTTATTCTGATCCTATAATCCACTTGTTTCAGGACTCATCCTCCCCAATCCTAATGCGGTGCTTGGGGCTGAGGGCTTGAGCCACCTTCACCATCAGAGGCAGAAAACAAATAATTGTACAACCTATTCACAACTCTGGAAAATTTAAAAGAAAACTCATGGCATTTCTTTGGGCTGTAGTCACTTTACATCTTTGCACCAGTGCATTTAAAAGACTTAATGAGGGGCTGGGAAGGTGGCTCAGTGGTAGAGCGCTTGCCTTGCATGCATGAGGCCCTGGGTTTGATTCCCCAGCACCACATAAGCAAAAAGAAAAAAAGCCGGAAGTGGCGCTGTGGCTCAAGTGGTAGGGCACTAGCCTTGAGCTGAAGAGCTGAGGGACTAGTGCCCAGGCCCAGAGTTCAGGCCCCACGACCCGACCCAAAAAAAAAAAAAAAAGACTTACTGAAGGTCTAAACTAGACAAGGTTCAAGCTTACCTGTCAATCATGTGGGTAATTAATTACCGCATGCCATTTCACTACCTTTTGCTTTGAGTGACTCCCCTTTCAAATGCTAAGTATGTGGTTGAATAAACAGAGTGACTGATAGAGTTTAGGGGATGATGAAAATTAAAATCGAGGCAGTAAGGATTACTGTACTTGGAATTTTTTTTTTGTCGGTCATGGGGCTTGAACTCTGGGCCTGGGCACTGTCCCAAACCTTTTCAGCTCTAAGCTAACACACTACTACTTGAGCCACTGCACCACTTTGGGAGTGGTTTACTGGAGATAAGAGTCTCATGGCCTTTCCTGCCTGGTCTGGCTTTGAACCACGATCCTCACATCTCAGCCTCCTGAGTAGCTAGCTAGGTGTGAGCCACTGGCGTCCGACTTCAAATATTCTTTTAAAACCCACTAAAAAGTCCTTAAAACTCTCATCTCCAATTACCTGCCTCTCCCCCTCCCCAAAAAAGCCAGAACTGGAGCTGTGGCTCAGGTGATAGACCGCTAGCAGAAAAGGGATAGTGTTCCAGGCCCTGGGTTCAAGCCCTAGGACCGGCACACACACACACAATCAAACGTGTGTGCTTTACATCAGTGAAATACATGGAATAAGAATTCTCTCAGTAATGCTGGGGCTTAGAGCTGTGCACGTTCTCAGAGGTTCTCTGAGCTGACTTACCGCATCCCACACCACAGCCGCCACTCCCAGGTGTCTCCAGTCCTGCCGGATCTGGATCGTGCGCTTTGCAAAGGAGAAAGTGGCAAGAGGCTTGTGGAATTTCTGGAGCCCCATTCCTGACTCCTCGTAAGGTACCAGGGCCATTGTGGGTGGAAGGGGGGGGGGGGGGAGAGACAGAAGTCCAGTCCTCTGGCGAGACCTGTGCAAAAGAATCCCGTGTGACGCTCCAGCCAGGAATTGCATCCTAGGTTAAATAATTCCCCTTCAAATAATCGGGCAGGTTTGCAAGTTCGAAAGCACAAAAGGGTTGAGGCCGGAGCTGGTGGATCACATCTGTAATCCCAGCTTCTTAGGAGGCTGAAATCTGAGGACGATAAAAGCCTCAGAGGATTTATCTCCAATTAATCAGCAGAAAGGCAGGCAGAAAGGTTCAAGTCCTAGATTCGGCGAGGAAGGGAAGGGGAGGGGACAGGAGGGGAGGGAGGTCGGTCTTAAGTCCTTCAGCCCGGCTATCCACCCCCCACCCCGCCCCAGTCTCCTGGGAAATGAGACTTGGCTCTGAATTATGGGTGTCTAGGGGCTAAAACACTTAGAACGTAGCGGCTCCGGCGCGGGTTCGGAGCTGCACGCCCCCAGACACCCCCATGCGCGGGTGGGAGGCTCCCGGACCGCCGGGCCGCGGCCGAGGGTCGGGCCCGGGCCTTGCGGTGGGGGTCCCGCTCCCCCACCCCGCCCCGCCCCAACAGCCGCGTTCAGCGCGGGCCGCCGTGGGGCCCAGCCTGCGGGCGCCCCACCCGCCTCCTCCTGACCCGGGCTCGGTGGACGAAGCCCCGCGTCCCGGAGGCTAGGAGTCGGCACGGCCTCCGGGAGGCTCCGGAGGGCGGCGCGCCGCGGGGCGTGCGGGGCTCGCCGGCCTCCGAAGGGCCGATCCGTGCGGGGCCGCGGCGCTCCGGGATCCCGGTCCGGGGCGGGGGTGGCGAGTGAGGAGGCCGGTCCACAGGGTCCCTGGAGGCGCCCGCTGGAGCCCGGACCGCCGGCAGCCTCCGGGGCGCGCTCGGGACGCCCGGAGCCCCTGCGCCACCACGCGGTCCCCGCCCGGCTGGGGGCGGAGGCAGCCTGGAGCGGGGGACGCGCGCTTCCGGTGCCGGGGGGAAGCCGGGGAGATCCCAGCGCCCCGGGGGCCCGGGACGGGCGCGGAGGTCCGGCGACACCCACCCGGAAGCCCCGAGCCCGGCACCGGTGCTTCTCGCCGCCTTCGGCTCGGGCCTTCCGCCGCTGGGCGGTGGCGCGGCGTCTGCGCGGTCACCCGCGGGGTCCCGGCCGATCGGAGGAGCCGCGGGGCAGACCGCAGCTAAGGCCCGGACGGGGCGCGGACGCGTGGCTCCCGGGCAGCGAGTGGTTCTGGCTGGCTGGGGAGGGAGGGCCTTGAACTCAGGGCCTGGGCTCTGTCCCTGAGCTTTCTTTCATCAAGGCTAGCGCTTGAGCCACAGCTCCACGTCTGGCTTCTGGGTAGTTCACTGGAGATGAGAGTCCCACCGACTCTTCCTGCCTGGGCTGGCTTCGAACCACGATCTTCATCTCGGCTGAGTAGCTCGGATTACAGGCGTGCGCCACCAGCGCCCAATCAGGCTCGGGTTCTTCCCTGGGCCGGGCGGAAAGGCTGGGCAGGGAGACTGCCCTTGCCCCGTGTCCCTCCGCCTCCTCCAGGCACCTTAGCGCCAGCCAGAGCAAACCCCGGACCTGCCCGGTGTCTGGGTGTGGGTGGGCAGAGCCTCGGCTCTGGAAGCCCGGCGCCCCGGCCTCGGGTCTCGCCCCTCGCGGCCTGCAGGGGGCGTGCCGCCTCTCCAGACTTCTTCCACTGCCCGCAGGAGCTGGAGCTGCTGCTGAGCTGAGCTTTGGGGACCTCCAGGAAGGGCTTTCTTCTTCTTTAAGTATTTATTCTTATATGTATGTGTGTGGGGAGGGGGGGGGTCTTCTTTCCTTCTCCTGTGTCTCTTCGGGTCTCCTACTCTGATTGCCTCTGTGTTTCTCTACCCGTCGACCTTTACTTTTCCTAGTTTAATTTTTTTTTCCCTGATAGCTGAGTGCAGTGGCTCACATCTGTAATACCAGCTACTAGGGAGGCTCAGACTTGGGAGAACTGTGATTACAAGGCCAGCCCAAGCAAAAAAGAAAAGAAAAAGTTGCAAGACCCCCATTGCAGCCAATAACTGGATGTAGTGGTACCCACCTTACCAGCTACCAAGGAAGTTAAACCTGAGGATTGTGGGTCTAATTAGGCCCAAGCATAAACAGAGACCCTATTGGAAAAATAAAACAAAAAGGGCTGGGACTCAGCCTGAGTTCAAATCCCAGTATAGCCCAAAACAAGCAAATACACTCTCCTTCCCATTAGGAGACATGCTGTTTTCTCTGAGTTGATACCTGCACGTGTTAAAATAAATATTACACTGCACTCCGTATGGACAGTTATTACAGGTTAGTCCAAAGAAGAGGAAAATCTTTCTGGTCATTGTTTTCTTTCTCCTAACCCTTTCCTTTGGGGAACTACCACTAGTCTCAACCACATGTATAGGATTTGGAGGCCAGAGAAATCCTGGAAACGTTGGGCACTGGTGGCTCATGCCTGTAATCCTAGCTACTCAGGAGGCTGAGATCTAAGGATCTTGGTTAAAAGGCAGCCTGGGCAGGAAAGTCCAAGAAACCACCAGAAAACCTGAAGTACTGTGGCTCAAGTAGAGCGCTTGCCTTGAGCTGAAGAGCTGAGGGACAGGGCCCAGGCCCAGAAGTCAAGCCCCATGACCGACCAAAAATGAAGAAAAAGAAATCCTGGAAATGTAAATCCCGCCTCTCACTTGCTTACCAAGATGTAATTGCTACATCTTGGCAGACCCCAGGGCCTTTATCCCTTTCCCCATCCTTTCTTCAGAAATCATAGATGCAGAGGTATAGGTGTATGACTGTGTGTGTATCTAAACCTGTCCTTAAACACCTCACTCTCTTCAGCACCTTCCTTAGGACATTTGCCTAAACACACAGTTTATTTGAAAAGTTGTTCACTTTTTTTCAATGATAAGTCATTTAGCCCTCCCAGTGTTGTAATTGGCACTAACTGCCTATATTATTCACACACATCTATCTATATATGTATGTATATGTGTATGTATAGATGTGTACATGTACATATATGTGTACACACATGTCAGTTCATGTAATTTCCATAGCAGTATTGACATTAAAGCTCTGTGGATATCTGAAAATAAAATTGTAATCCTTGAAAAATTTTACTCCCTTCCAAGGGGTGGATGTCACCTCACCTTATTGAGGTTACACTTGGCCATTGAACTTTCTCTGGCCAACAGAACATGGGTGAAGAGACCCTGGCCAGCGGTGGCAGGACCAATGGGTGCCCAGCACACATGGGCCACAGCTTTCCCACTGCTTAGCACCACACAAGGCAGGCTAGGGAGGTCTTTAGTACCAGGTCCCCAATAGGAGCAGAACTAACTTCACAGGAACTATGTGCATGAAAGAAACTATTGTCACCACTGAGCTTGGGGGTTGTTATAGTCTTTCTCAAAGCTGGAAGAACACAGATATAAACAAATCAGGTTTCAAAGACAAGGTAGAATGTTCTACCATACCAAAAGTAGGTACTCTTCCTTTTGAATATCTGCCTAGCTAGCTCATGAGGATATCTTTCATTGCCTTCCATCTGGGTGCCCAGATGAAGTGGTCCTTCACTAACATACTCAGCGAAAATATCCCTCTTTGCATCATTGGAGATCCCAAAATGCACTTTAATTATAACATATAGAACTGTGCTTTTCCCCCATAGAAAAATAGGTTGGGCTCCCTTCTCCAACCCTCTCCTGGACCCTTAGAATCAAAAGGAATACAAGGTTAGGCAGCTCCTAGGCTCTGGAACACCTTCAGATTCCTCCATACTCAGTCCCTATGGGAAGCAGCATTTGAGGTGGGTTCAAACACAAATAAGTAGTGCCAGAAGCCTGTAGATGACAATGAAGGAGTGGAGACAATGCTGCCCTAAAGTGTGAGGCCTCAGGGAGAGAGCTAATTGTTCTTTACCGACCTGGGGGAGATGGGGGTGAGGAGCAGGGGAAGGCCCTGCTGGTAGGGCTTTCTCTGTGCTCTCCAGAGAGGAGAACAATGATAGTGGCTCCTCTCCCCAGGGAAGCTCTTCAACCAGGGAAGATGAAATCACAGGAGAAGAGCCTGGAGGTCATTAATTTGCCCAGATGAACTTTGTCACAGGCTATATAGCCTGTTCTGACGACCTCCTTGAGGCAAATTGCATTACATCAGAGACTGTGCAGAACAAGGCACATTTCCTCCTTACCTTCCCATAACCATCTCCCCTCCCCCACCAGAAAGCTCCACATCCCCATTGCCTTCTGGAGCCAGGTTGTTAAGCAAAGTTCCAGATCTCACTGGCTTGGGGGTGGGAAGATGGGGGGGGGGGGGGCACCAAGAGGGGAAGGGTAGGGTATTTTTTTTTTTCTTTCCGTGACTTCTTCATATAAAATAAATTTGTGTGCCTTTTTTTCCAGGTTAATCTCTCAATTGTCAGTTTATTTTAGAGTTAATTATGATACCTTCTGAGACTAGAGAGAAAGTCTTCTCCCTCTACAACACTTTTTCACTTTTATCTGCATGACTAAAATTCCTTCCCCATCATATGACACCTCATCAGAGAACAGTGGTAGAAGGACACATTCATTTGTCCTTGCTGTTTTCTGGACCTAATCCATATTGCAGATCACAGTGGAAGCATATACTTTGGTACAACTTGATCTGTTCCTCCTCACCTGTTCTATTCACCAGGGCAGATACATAAACCCAGGATGGATCAGTAATTCTCTCTGCAGAACAAGAACTCAGAGTGGCCATGGGACATCCAGTTTCCATTTTTCCTGGTACAAGTTCCCTTTGACTCATTCTCAAGAAGAGCCCAACTTCTGGAGCCTTAAGTTCTGGATCAACTCCCAGAGCTCTGCAATGCACCTGTTTTCCTCCACTTTCAAGGTACAGCCTGACAAACCCATCACAGCTTGGAACTATCCTGAGTTGAAAAGGCATTGAATATGCTAGCCTAACAAATGTCATGGCATAATCGTCCAGAACACTATAGAGGA